TCTCTTTTTACTTTAACTGAAACTTTCACTAATCTCGACCAAACTTTCACTTATTTTTGTACTAAAAATCTCAGCCATCTTATTAAAACTGAAAAAAAAAAAAAAGTAAACACATAGAATTCTAAACACTTTTTTTTTTTTAACATGTAGCTGGTTTTATTGTCAGCAGGAGGAAAATTGCTCTATGTGAAATTTGCAGATTTCATTGCAGACTGAAAAAACTGTAGGGGCTGATAAATAAAAAGTGTCAAAACTCCACAATGCTAGACCAAGGCATTTTCTTTTTTTTTGTACATCAGTCTGCACCAAGCACTGTGACACAAATTCTTCATTAGGTATTTCCTTGGTATTGTGTTCTGTGGAGAATGTTCCCATAAATACATGAATAGCAGCAGAGTAAACTGGAAGCAACAAAGCTATTGTAGGAATAGACATTTCGATGAGTTGCTTATGTAATAATCAACAACTGCCACTAAAATGAGGCTGCAGAAATCTGAGACTCTTGCTCTGGACTAAGCCCTCTTCTTCCCCAAATATTTGTAGTCAAAGATTCTTTTATACTTTTTTACTGGAGTTTTGGAACTGATGCTGGAATAGCTCTCTTGGTTACTCTTTGTAGTGACTCACCTAATTTAAAAGGAAACATAGTGGATCTTGGATCTTAATTTTTGTATGGGCACAGTATTTTAATCCCTTTAGAATGATGAGACCATTACCCAGCACTAAAACTTGAGAGCCCCCTAAGCTTAAGTTTTTTTGCATGCCTTTAGAATATCTACTAATGTGGTAGGGTTTTTCTTTAAAAAAAAAAAAAGGAAAAAGTTGTACATGAACTATGTGTAGTATTTATTATTGGCTGTTCCTCTCTTCAGCACAACCTTTTGGTAACTTGTGTACTGCAAAGTATATTCCTTTGCAAGCAGGCAGCTAACCTCAGTGACATTGTTCCAGGAATCAAATATTAAACCAAATAAAGAACTATCTACACCTGCCTTTAAATGTTAAGTTTTTGAAACCTGAATTAAAAGCACCTTACTGCAAGAAATCAGTCTTGGTTTCTCTAGGCTATGAGGCTTCTTGATAGAATCATAGAATGGTTTGGGTTGGACGGGACCTCAAAGATCATCTAGTTCCAAACCCCCTGCCATGGGCAGGGAAACCCTCCACTACACCAGGTTGCCCAAAGCCTCATCCAACCTGGCCTTGAACACTTCCAGGGATGGGGCAGCCACAGCTTCTCTGGGCAACCTGTTCCGGTGTCTCACCACCCTCTGAGTGAAAAATGTCTTCCTTATATCTAATCAAAATCTGCCCTCTTTCAGTTTAAAGCCATTTCCCCTTAAAATAACATAGTCCAGATGAGGATCTATTTGTTTCCTTGTCTTTTCCTGAAGTTGCAAGCATGTTTCACCTGCCGTTTCGGAGTATCAAATGCAAGAAGCTCAGTTTTGATTGCTTTTTGGAACAAATTATCAGAGAAAAAGACCACAGCATTGCCTGAAAGCGTGTGGCAGAGGAGGACCACCAGCAACAAAACCCAAATCCCCAGACTAAATGGAAGAGGAAAGCATATTGTCCTTATACCCATCTCACCAGCCTGAAACACAGCTACAAGTTACTCACCTAATTAATTCTAGCTTTATTCTGATAAAAGCAATGTTGTTTTGACAGGACTGCAATGGCTTTTAGCATAATGTGATTTAGCAGGGCAATCATTCTTTAGACCAAAGTGGCTGTAACATTTCCAGTACTACTAAGAAACTAATACTGCCACTTCCGCTCTCTCCCCTCACTAATCCCAGACGACTATTGATTTTCTACATGGTAAAATTCTTCCGTGAGTTTTGGAAAGGTATATGCCAGGACATACATGTGCCCCTGTACAGGAGGCCTGAAAGCATGTCAGGACAAGAATATCAACTCTTGGCTCAGCACCCACTGTTGCTGCACAGTTGACTGGCTTCCAAAACATTGCAAGAGCAGCACCCTTCGGCTAGTACAGCTTGATCTGTTACGTGTCCACAGCCGAGATACAGCTCACAGCTCTGATCACCTCTTCTCTGAACAGATACAGGAGAGCTAGACATGAAAGAATGGAAATTATGAAAGAATTATGAGGCACATGGAATAACTTCTGTATGAGAATAGACTATGCAGACGAGAACTGAGATTGACTATGGAAAGTTAGAGTTGAATAGTGGTTCTTAGTTTCTGCCTCATCATATAACCTCTTGTACAGTGGCCTTCAAATTAGAATTATATTCCTGAAGAATTTACTTTAGGAGGAGTTAAAGCTTGTGGAGAATGGTGATCTGGCTGATACAGTCTACTTGTATTTCCAAGAGGCTTTTGACAAAGTTTGTATCTTTTTTTTTTTTTTAAAAAAAAAGAAACTAAGCAGGTAGAGGATAAGAAAGAAGGTCATGGCATGGAGATGTGTTTAGAATTAGATAGGGTAAAGAGGTCAGCTCTCAGAACAGAGGGAGTTTACAAGTTTAGGGATCTGAGCTGTTGAAAACGATCTGGAAAAAGACATGAGTGATGAGGTTGAGAAAGTTTGCTGATGATACAGATTACTCAGAGGAGGGAGAGAAAGGAAAGCAGATTGTGAAGAGTTCTGGAAAAGTGGTTGAGTGTCTGAGCAATGAGATGGGAAGTGAAATTTGAGTTATGTGAAGGGGTGCACATGAGGAAAAAAAAAAGTTACCCTAAATTGATGTATAGAATAATGACCCTGAGCTGACCATTACCACTGACAGCCAAGATCAAGGGTTAAAACAGATGAAAATATTAGCTAAAGCAAATTGATATCAGAGATTATTAGGAAAGGAGCAGAAAAAGTCATATGAATCCAAGAGTCATGGAGTTGACTCTGCATGTATTTCTGGTTCCCTCTTCTCAGTAATGGGATAGTGAGACTGGAGGAGTTCAGAGAAGAGCGACAAGGGTGACCACAGGCCAATGCCTTCTCTTGGAAGAACAACTGAGCAGGACAGGACTCCATGGTGTGGGAAGAAGATTATTTAGGAGGGGAGGTGATGTGGGTCTACAAAACTCTAAGCACCGTGTAAAAGAACAGATGGGACTGATCATTTACTGTTGACTGAGAGGAATCAAATGAAGCTACTGAGAAACAGGTCCTTCACCCTCCCAGGATCCCTCCCCACTCCAATGCTTCCTGCAAGGAAAAAGCTGACTGGCTGGATTTTGCCAAAAAACATTGGCTGCTTCAAGTTGGCATGAATTCAAGAGAAGACTGAACAAAGTTCAGAGCAGAGATCTGTTTGGCTTGGTAAATACAGAGAAAACATATATAGCTGACGAAATCTTCCAGACTAAATATAGTTGGAGCCCAGGACAGTATTCAGGGGAAGTGCTTGCTCTTCCTGGCCTGTAACCACTGTGGACAAAAACCTTGAGGTCAGAAGATCTTTGTTCTGACCTAACACAACCACTTTTGTATACTTACATTAAAAACATCCAGTCTAGTACAGGCACTTAATGCTACTGTGTGTGTGGGAGCTGGCACACGTGTGCCAAGTAGTGTTGGGAAGTGTATCTTCACCATATAGGTCAGACTGACATTCTTCATCTGACAGTTAAAGCCATTAAGCTCTGCAATTAATCCAATACAGTTACATTTGGTTTGACAGTTGCAACTTCTGCTTTCATATCCATTTCCTTCTTCCTTGAATAGTCTGGTAACTGAACACAGTGAACAAAAGGATGATTCCTCTCCTATACAATTTTAATATTTGCACTTGTCCTTCAGACTCTCTCCAGGTAACTTAAAGTCTTTTAGGCAAGAATCTGCTTTCTGCATGACTTATGTGTATAACATTTTCCATTTTCTTGCCTTTCACTTTTTTTTTTCCCCTATACAAGAGTTACTGAGCCAAAGCAAACTTCTTGCTTGTGTAACCTAAAGACTTTGACTCATATGCACTGAAGCAGACATCTGCAACAGCTCAGGGCAGCACTGCTTCCAGGGGTCTGTCTCTGCTAGAGGTGGCCCTTCACCTCACACCATGACAAACAGGAGCGTGTGATTCCCTCCCTAGGGTAGCAATTCCCATCATGGTGCACCAGTTTATGCTGCTGCTCCACAATATGGGCTCAGCACGTTTATTATCCAGTTAGCCATTAAAGAAACATAAGGGTGGGGCATGACAAGGCTGCTACAAAGAATGCATGGCAGATGCAGGCTCTGTATGCAGAGGCCTAAGTGTCATTTGACAGTGACTCAGAAGACCTTTTCTTATTCAGGCTGCGTTCTTTTAATATCAAAGTGCAAACCCAGCTGTTAGGTAAGTTGGTCAAAGCAAGAAATTGTGTAGCTAAGTGAGAAACCCACCCCTTGCCACATGCACAAAAAGGGTTAACAGCTCTCAAGCACAAAAATAATCCCGCTAAAGTCCAAGGTAAAAAATCATGGATGTTAAGAGCCAGACAGTCATTTTGTCCTACTAGATCCTGGCTCGTAGACAGACAGTGCTCCTGCAGGTTTTCAGGTCGGCGCTCTGCCTTGCTGACTGCTGGTGCTGGAGATCTCCAAGGAAGCCCATCTACACTGATGCTGGAGGGGATGTACCCAGCCCTCCAGACCCAAACAGAAATACTGACTGGTGTCAAGGGGCAGTGAATGGATAGGACTCCTTTTTGTCTCTACTTAGGGTAACAAGAACAGAGAACTCCCTTTGATTTTAGGAAACTACATACTTTACAAATAGGAGCTACCTTCTGTAAAGAAAGGCAATACAGGCACGTACTGCTATACAATATTTGTATTTGTTTTCTTCCTTTTCTGGTATCTGTCATAGCTTTAATATTGCTTTGTAAATATGTGGAAAAGCCTAAAGCTGTACACAAGGCTTTCCAGCTGTCTAAATCACAGTGCAACTGTACATCCTTTTGCATTATTCATGATCTGGCTTCATAGCTCAAAGGCACAAGTGTAGAGCTCTCATTTAAAAGAACAGGATTGGCCATAACAAGGTTGAGTATGGGCAGCATATTCCCTGGCAAATAATAAAAAAAAAAAAGTGGCAGCTGGTACAAAGTATTAAAATAAACTTGGCAATGTACTTTACTGTTTCATAAGCAGCAGCGGTATAATCTGCAATTAAATACCGCTTGTGTTATCAGCCACTTGTAGGCAGGATGTCACTGTTTATATGAGCAAGGATGATTCTTCAGAGAGAGTTTTGCACCCATCATTCCTGAAGAGAATCCCTTGAGGAATCAATGAAGAGAAATGCTATATTGTCAGTTAAGCTGCTAGCTGTAGTACTCAAGATACTTCTATTACATTTGAATTAGGAGATTTAGCATTCAGATATTGAGATAAAGCAACAAAAAGAATGGAAGGGAAAAAAATAATCTTCTCTCTGTAGTCTTGTCCCTGAACATTACTTGAAATACCACTCAGGAGAGCAGTTTATGGGTTCTTCCTTCCAAAGAGTCTTCAGTCGCTGGGCCCAGGCCATCAGCATCTCTGTCCTCTTCTCCTCAGAGACATGCTCCGGAGCAAAGCAGATGTGAGGTGCGAGGACTTTGACACCACAGAAGTGCATGATTCCATGCTGGACTCAAAGCAAAGAAAGAAAGGCCTCAGGGAATAGTTAGTCTTTCACTTTCAATTCAGAAATGTGGACAATTCAAATCTGAAACTGTTTCTCTCACCCAATATAAGGCAGGTTTTCCAAACCCGTGTGTTTAGCAGGAGAAGGGAAATAAATTGCAAAATTTCATTATTTATCCTGGCAGTCACTACTGAAGGCTAGGCATTAAGCAGAATGACATACAATACATCGAAAAATAAGGTCAACTTCATTTATTCTGCTCTGTGGAATTTACTTTTAAATGCTCTTAAACCCACGGAACTGTTCTCTTTGGCAGCTGTAGGCTACTAAATTTGCAAAGATCAGAAACAGCCTAAAGTTCATTGTACTGTTTGAATCTTCACCGATTGTTCCTGAACGGTGGTGTATTTCTCATCTACTTCTAAGTATTTTTTTAACCTTTTGCCTGTGGCTTAGCCAAATGATCTTGAATGAAGGCTAGTGCCTTCCAAATCAGCTCAACTTGCCATTTTTCCTCTGTATTTCTGAATTCACAGTTGCCTTTCAGGTTCTTTGTTATGTTGACTTGCAAGCTCTGCAGCTAGACAGCCTCACATGGGCAGACAGCAAGTAATCCCGATGGGCAGGAGAACAAAGAATTTAAGCACATCCATTGTATTACATCAAGAAGTAGCTGGCACAATTTGCCTTGCCACCTAAATTTCTCAAAGCACGCTTGCTACTTCTGATAAAAGGGTAGCAAGAAGAAAAAACATGCCAACTTTTGTATGCTGATCGTTACTGCCAGGATAACGTGACTCCCCTCCTGCCCTGCATCCTACATGAATCAGGTAGCTATGGGGAAGAGAAATCCTGCATGCTAGTGCTAAAGGAAATCCTATAACACCAGAGAAACTTAAAAGGCTGGCAGTATAAGCTTCCTACAGGTTCCAATCTGGAGGAAGGGGCACAAAACAACTGTAAAATTCTACAGGCTTTTAAAGTAGTCTCAGGATTTTAGGGCCTGATTTATAACCTGCAGATGCTTGGAACGGACAACTTAATTATTTCTTATATTTCATATACAATAACCAATAATACAACTCTAAAAAATAATTGGAATAATAAAAATTAAGGCAAACAACAACCAAATATTCGTATATTATACCTGCATGGGCCACAGGAGATAGCGAATATCACCACTGATGCTTCCTTTTGCATACGCCTCTCTGCTTCCACCAGTGGTGAAAGAAAACAGGGCTAACTTGTTCTAGAATCAAGAAAGCAGCATTTGAGTTAGGGATGTTTAAAGAGTGGCTGAATAGTTGAAGACACATTCAGGGGAACCTGGACAGCATAAATTTCTGGTGGAGGTGGTGTGTCCTCTTCTTTCCCAGACCTTATGTGTAGTGACAGCTCTGATGCAAAGATTGACGACATACAACTAGACAGTGGACTGTGTGCCAGGGCTTTGGGCAGAGACAGGTTAAAAAGAAAAGGAATTACATGTCTGATGCCCTTGCATGAAGCAGGGCTGACCCTCGTTCTCACCTATGTAATGTTTGGAAAACTGTGGCCGGAAAGCACTCTGTTACTGAGAATATCTTTGTTTCTGTCCCTCCTGAATGCAGAAATTGAATGCTATGGTCTCCCTTCAAACTTGAGCTTGCTTGTCACTTGCCAGGGAATAATTTGTTCTCAAATTATCAGGTGTTCTAAACTCTTTTGTGTTTCTTTTGCTTCTGTAACTATGGTTTTAGTCCCAGGCTCGTGCTCAGCATCTATCCTCTCAGTTTTAGCTTCCATAATTGAAATAACATTTTTCCAGTGCAGTATCCAAACTGCATTGAGACTGCACTCAGCATGCAGCTATAATCATTGGGGATTACTTCTACTCATCTCAGTGAGGCAGCCATTTTTGAAATTTAAACAAACTGAAATGTTTGGAATTGTTAAGATCAGAAATTACAGAGATTAATATGCAGTGAACATAAATATGAAACAAATTGATTGGTTTCTTGATGCTGCAGTTGTTACCAAATCAGATCCATCAGACAGCAGGTCAGAATTTTCCAGGGATATTCCCAGCACCATGGAGAATTAAAAATTTATGAATTGTCATCTAGAGATACCGGTCTTTGCCTAATTTGTAAGCTACAGAGAAGAAAATGTTGAAAGGAGATAGTTGGGACAGAGGCTGGTATTTCAGGTTTCTGATTAAGTTTTATAGTTTAATTCCAACCTTTGACATCTAATCCCAGAAAAGGATCTTTTCTCCTATTCCAGTGTGTCACTCACTACAGATTTGTGCAGTCCTACAGTGGTGGGAAGAATGACAGACTGTAGTTCTAGAAAATGGACCAATTCAAACTGCTTGCAAGCTGTATGCCATCCCAGTGCACTCTGATACACCTACTGAATTACAAAGCCCATTTTGTAGCCAAGTGAAAATCTCTAGGAGATTGCTTAAATCTTTAGGAACCACTGCATTCTCCTTATTGTACTACCTTTCAGACAGTTTTAACAAGCCAGAAAGCTACTCAACATGTTACCAAAGCATTATTTCAGGAGAGCGTAAAGTGAGAGCTTTAAATAAATGAAACGGAAAAGAAAGACCAGTATCCTCAAGAGCATTGTGCAAATCTTGAGCTTAATAAAACAATCTCAAAAACATACCTGGAGCAAACCGGAATCGTAACAGTTTGGAAAATCATAAGCAAATCCTTGGATCAAGACTCTGTCCATCCAGCCCTTCATGATTGCTGGCATGCTGAACCAGTACAGGGGAAACTAGGCAAAAAATAAATTACCTTGTTAGCACTGAGAGCCCAGGCCACCCTTAGGCTTGGTCTACAGGCCAAATCTTATTCTCTTAATCCGTTCAGATCTTGTACGTGCCTTCTTCCAGCTCTCGGTCAGGAGAGGCAGTTACTACCCTTGGCAAAAATAACTGAAGTGCTTTCTGTTTGTAGTGGTCTCAGGTACGTACCTGAGCACACTGACACCATGGTGAATGTGAGGCTTCCACACAAATTAAAGTTGGAATAGCTGAAGCAGGATGGTGCCGTTTAATTACAACTGGGGACTGTACAGAATTGCATCTCCTATTGCTGAAATGCAAAAGGAACATATGATCTAATGGTATTTTAAGGTTCTAATTTCAGATGCCTTCCTACTCTTCAAAAATGCCAGTGTGGAGCCATTGTTTGTGGGAAAAACTCATACTGTGCTAGCACAAATAATGCTCGCACGTGACCTGGTATTTTTGATATTTTCTAAAATCTACAACCTATCAGAAAAAACTGACACCTTGAAATTGCTACGCAGGATGCAGACTGTTTTATGTCGATGGCAGAGCTACTACCTCTTTTAACTCTGACTAGATTCAATGTTCCTAATGAGATCTATAATCTTCCCACTGTTGCTTTTCTTTTGTTCAACCCTGTATATTAGGACTGAGGTCTTTTTAGTACAATTTAAAATAATGACCTGAAAAATCAGTAAGTCTGCTTCCTGAACCTTTTTTTGCTCTTCAATCAGATCGTTGGACAAACTTCCTGTCTTGTAAGCTTCCCACGTCTCCACAGCATAATCGAACTCCTCTGAGTTGTACAAGCAACCTGTGGGTAGAAGTGAACAGTCATTCCTTGCCCTGTTTCTAGCATCATAGCCAAATAAGAATTAAATACATGTTGCAATCTAAAGTTTTAAATTGACTTACTGCTTTCAATTTTTCCCCAGGTCCTTTTTTTTTTTTGGTGGATATTCAGCATCATCATAGCTGACAGTGATTTGATTTTAAACTGGAGAGGAACGTAGTGTCTCAGAGTACCAAAACTTTCGCCTTTCTCTAGCAACATATGAAGTGCAATAAGAGGACCTAAGCTTGGCTCTAGACTCTGGTGATGCAGGTGGAGGATTTAAGAGAATTTTGCTAATTGCTCTGCCTTTGCATTAGGGATTAGTGAAACCACCATGCAGTCACAAGCACTACGTAGCTGCTTTTCAGCCTCTGTAACTGGGAACTCAGCAGAGGCTGGGGAACCAGTATTGCCTGGCTCTGCTGACTCCACTGCAGTTGGGTGAGCTTATTCAAGTGTCTGAATCAGACATACACATTCATTCATCCGATTCAACTAGCAGGTCATCAATCTCTAGCAGAAGAGAGCGGCAGCAGCTTCATGAACTAAACTATAGCAAGTTATAGAATGGTATCTGAAGGCATTTCTCACCCACAAGAAGTGGACTTTAGAGATTGATTGTGGACAGTGCTAATGCATTTTCCCTCTCAGTGGTATCACTATGAGCCAAGGTTCATATTCAGCAGTGGACTTTTAGAAATGCTTATGTCTGGTCATTAATGAGTTTCTTCTGTTTTTTGCCAGTGCTTGCACTAGACCTGTGCTGTTTCTTTTTGATTCTTGTTTTAAAGAAAGATTCAGCTGTTGCAGATTATGTTACAGCTTTGTGATTTCTAAGATGGAAAAATACTGGGGCTAAATGCTAGTAAGAGCACTGTGAAAATATCACATAACCGTAAAAAAAGCATCACTGTTTTTCTCTAGTCTTAACTACATCTTAACTGCATCAATTTTAACTGTTTAACATCTTTGTCGACAACATGGACAGTGGGATCGAGTGCACCCTCAGCACGTTTGCTGTCGACACCAAGCTGTGCGGTGTGGTGGACACGCTGGAGGGAAGGGATGCCATCCAGAGGGACCCTGACAGGCTGGAGAGGTGGGCCTGTGAGAACCTCCTGAAGTTCAACAAGGCCAAGTGCAAAACCGTGCACATGGGTCACGGCAACCCCTGGTATCAATACAGGCTGGGAGATGAAAGGATTGAGAGCAGCCCTGCCAAGAAGGACTTGGGGATACTGGTAGATGAAAAGCTAGACATGAGCCAGCAATGTGTGCTTGCAGCCCAGAGAGCCAACTGTATCCTGGGATGCACCAAAAGCAGCGTGGCCAGCAAGTCAAGGGAGGTGATTCTCCCTCTCTACTCTGTTTTGGTGAGTCCCCACCTGCAGTACTGCATTCAGCTCTGGGGCCCCCAACATAAGAAGGAGATGGAGCTGTTGGAGCAGCTCCACAATAGGGCCAGAAAGATGATTGGAGGGCTGGAGCACCTCTCCTATACAAGACAGGCTGAGAGAGTTGGGATTCTTCAGCCTGGAGAAGAGAAGGCTCCAGGGTCACCTAGCAGCTTCCCAGTACCTAAAAGGCGGCTACAAGAAAACTGAAGAGGGACTTTGGACAAGGGTGTGTAGTGATAGGACAAAGGGCAATGGATTTAAACTGAAAGAGGGGAGAGTTAGATTAAAGATAAGGAAGAAATTCTTCACTCTGAGGGTGGCAAGGCACTAGAACAGGTTGCCCAGAGAAGTTGTGGCCGCCCCATCCCTGGAAGTGTTCAAGGCCAGGTTGGATGAGGCTTTGAGCAACCTGATGTAGTGGAAGATGTCCTTGCCCATGGTGGTGAGGTTGGAACTAGGTGATCTTTGAGGTCCCTTCCAACCCAAACCGTTCTATGATTCATACGATTATATGATGATCTAGTCATTTTTAGTAATCATCTACTGCTAAGGTAGTCGAGAGGTGCCAAGACAACTCAAAAGCACAAGTACTTAAGTGCCTGGAGCTGACTTGCAGAAAGCATTTGTAGTCTCATTTGTTAAGAGAAGGTGGTTCATTAGAATGTCCTTGCAATTGATTGCAAATAGTATAAAAATAATATTTTCTTTCACTTCAGTCTAAAGGCAAAACACTGTTTTACAAGTCTATACTATTTGCAAATAGTATAAAAATAATATTCTCTTTCACTTCAGTCTAAAGGCAAAACACTGTTTTACAAGTCTATACTATATAGATATTTCATTTTTCTGATTGAGGGGCCATTTCTAGCGCTCAGATTATTTAAACAAAGATGAGACTTATTGGGCTTCTACACTGACATTTCTTAGTCGATGCTAACAGCAAATAAAAAGCTGGGTCTTGTTAGTTGAGGGATAATTTGTACAAAACAATAGCAGCTGTTTTTTGGAGTGCATCTAAGAGTGTGGTTCTGGATTGTTAATGCAGCAGGATAGACAAAGTGAAAGTTTGTCTTGTTATCATTGTTGAAAAAAGTGGGTTTTGGCTATTCTCACCAACAACGTCATTTCTTGTTGCTCTTGGCTCGAACTGCATTGCATATAAATCAGACACTGTGACACTGCAGCCCTGCTTGCTCAATTCTTCCACAGCAACCCTCTTCAAAGATCCGTTAAAGGACTTGGGCTCTTGATGTGCATAGACTATCAGGACTTTTCTCCCTGGAGGCAGAAAGAAAACCAGAAGAAGATACCTTTGAGTATAGCAGGCAGATAGGAAAGTTTGTGGAGCTGGTCCTTCATTTGTCTGTGGTGTATTTTCCAAGCGGCACAAAACTAGTGAAAACAGAGTGACAGCAGCAGCATTTGGCTCCTGCTTGGCAGCAATGAGTGACTCATGAGGAACTAATCAGTAAATGCCCTTCACCCTGCAATTCTGTGCTACACTGGGCTTTCCTAGGTGGAACTCAGTGGACTGTGGGTGCGTTTCCATAGCAGGTCACTCCACCCTACATCAGCACAACCCAGTCTCTCCTCTTGAGTCAGCAACTGTGTTCATCTGATTCCACTAGCTCCCAAAAAAACGGGGGGAAAAAAAAAAAAAAAGCTGTCTGCTGGTTTAGTTCCCTGAGCTGGGTCAGACAAGCTACAGCGCAAGTGTGAGGGATGGACTGGCATCAAAGCTGTGCCAGTTTAGATTCCCTCAAACCGTTGTGAAAACAAGTTCTGAGAGCACCTTCCTACTGCAACGTGGGATCCCCTCATCTTCCAGTTCAGTGCTGTGCAAGTGACAACATTGGGGTAGATGTTTAAGATGCCACTATCCCCCTTCAGCATCACCACAGTGACTTCAGTAGAAAGCAACATGATTTCATCTTAGATGTGATAGTGAGCTGTCTAGTGTATCTAAAACTGCTGACAAAGTGGGTTTAAGGTAAGCCGAGTGGCAAGATGGATATGTTGGGATGGGGCTTCTTAAACTGAGGTGACAAGGTGTATCAGAACTTGCTTGCTCAAAATTTTATTGTGCATAGGCCATTCAATTTTAGTAATTCCCTAAAAAAAAAAAATCATTCACTGCTGAACTCAAGGGAAAGGTGAAATACTTTTATGGGGTAGTTGTTATTTCTGTGCAGTTCCTGCACAGAAGGAAATTTCCAGGGATTTTTGAAAATGATGGATCTGCAAAATGTGCAGCTCTTTGTTCCTAACTGCCAACACAAAAACTCAGGCATCTCCTGAGTTCGGTTTCTCCAGGGGACACAGAAGCTGCACAGCCCAGAGCACCACCAGAGTGACAGGTGAGTTTAAGGTGTCAGAGATAATTAATAGAACCAGAGCTGCAGGCTTGAAGAAACAATACCTCATTTTTAACCTAAATTATGAGGGGTGATTATTTCTCCAGTGTGCATAGCATCCACGAAACAAGAGCTCTGCAAAAAAACTACTACAATTCGTGTAATAGTCAGATGCTATCATAAATTTAACATGTGTATAAACTATTTAAACCCCTGCTCTGTGACTTATTCTGGACTACCAGGAGCAGTTACCTCTTTGCTGCTCCTGCTCGCTCTCAGCAAACAGGTAGTTCAGTGGCTGGAGACAACACAAGCTCACAGACGTGATGGGATTAATTCTGCAAGCTGCTGGTGTGTGTCCTTTTTGGTAGAGCTGTGGGTGCTCAGACACAGTCCCTGGAGTGACTGGAGTTTTCAAAGGCATCGTTTACTGAAGTGATTTCAGTCATTTGAAAAAGCAATTCCTCAGTATCCCAACGAAACGTTATGCCACAGCTCCGCGTGCCCAGGCCGGTGGCAAACAGCATTTTCATCACTATTTGTTCTTACCTGCCATTTTCCAGAAGCACTGAGCAGCTTCTCTCTCGGGAACCTGATACAGCCTGTGAACTCAAATGACAAATTTGAGAAATATGTGAGAAACAACAGGAAAAGGTAAAAGCAAAATCACTTCCACTGGTCTGGAAACGTACCTTACTGTGGGGAAGCGAATGGACTGCGAGCGGAAAGTGTTGTGTGAGTGCCTGGGTGTATATATATACATCTTTGGGCAACCTGGTGTAGTGGAGGATTTCCCTGCCCATGGCAGGGGGCTTGGAACTGGATGATCTTTGAGGTCCCTTCCAACCCAAACCATTCTATCATTCTATGTGCACGCCTATATATATATACGTGCATACACACACTGCAACCGCACGACCGGCAGGAGGATGCGGGTGTGCCGGGCCATGAGCGTTGCCCCGTGGCGACCTCCGGCCCCCGGCTCTC